TCCATGTTTTTAGCTTTTATGTACATAATATCATCAAGATTATATAAATATATATTACAATATTTTACATAACACACAAAATTAATATTTAAGAAAGCTGGAGTACAAAATATCGAGTGTAGAAAATTATTTTAAACAAATCTTTTAAATTAAATTTTTTAAATGCAGATCTTGAGATTTTTAGCTCTACCGTTTAATATAATAACACTTGAGCACATATACAAGTACTTTGCAATTTCATTGCGTGTCAGGACATGCAAGTTAGATTACCGTGCATTCCATACGTCTCCGAATATGCGTGCGATTGAACGGTAGGGGTAACGAGAGGAGATCGGCTACTGTGGAGAACCTAGCGCCTTCCCTAATACGGCCTCGCTGCCTGCACGCGTCTGCACGGATATAGATACGTCTGCTCTCTCTCTCTCCTTCTCTCTCTCTTTCTCCTGTCGCCCGCGCGCGCCGTCTGTTACCACTGCCTGTGCCGTTGTTAACGTCGTTACTACTACTAGCGTGCCATATGCTGTCTGCTACTACTGTCAGTAGTAACAGAGCGTATATGTACGGCCGAATATTTCTAATCGTTACGATGAGATATACTTTCGATATAAAAATAAGTTAATGCCCCTTTCTTAATAGCAATGAAAAAAATTAGTTACATATTTAATAAAGATCAGAATATATAATTAAATACTGATCAAAGTAAATGTGATGATAATAATTATCGTACTATTCTTATAATAAGAATGACTAACGGAATGTTTTATTTCAAATGACGTATTGTTTAATTATTTTAAATATAATTAATTTATTTTATCGAAAATTAAGATACAATGTAGGATATATACAGTAATAACATTGCAACAAGGATAATATTAAAATATTTTCTAAAGTGAATTTTTTATATACGCTTAAAAAAATGACATGGATCTATTCTTTTCCTTCATCACTAAAAAAATATTATGTCTGATAGTAACAGATTAAATTACTATTTATTTTCCACTGCGTTTTTATCATCACATCGTATAAAAAATCACAAATATTTTATAAAGCCCAGAAACGTGAATGACTCAAGGAAACCTAAACACCAGAATTAAACTCGTACAACAAATACAAAAGTAGTTGATGATATAATGCGTAATATAATAGCTACAAAGTGAGTGGCAAGAATAACTTGAGTGTAATAAAATGCTATATAACAAAGAAATATGAGAATCAGAGAAACCAGATCTTTTACTAAATTATGCGATATAGGATTTGTAGAAGGAGATATACATGTCTCATGTCATTATACGTCTTATAATTTCTATTATTATCGTTGTATTTATTATTTCTGCGGAATATTAATGCCACATAATAGCATATCAAGTACATCATTGTTTCTTTTACTTTTATTTACTATTATTATGTAAATTATTAAAATGAAATACTATGATGCAGATATAGAATCAACTATCAACGTTGCCAAGCACTATTACGCACACCCACTAGTTTTCGCGTGCCAAATATTATCCTCATCTTGTTGCAGCATGTATGTCAATTAATTGTGATCTGTTCTTGTGTTTTCGCGGCAAAAATAGCGGCGGACATAAACATCTATTTTAGATAATCAGGGACTTTTTATACCACACAATTTGTCATTTCGAAAACTAAATAATGAATTTCTATTGTGATAATTATATATATATATATATATAATGCTATGTTCTAAATGTCTATAAACGTCATTTATGTATTTCTTACATTTTAACTCGCCAAAACTCGTTTATCTCTTACTATTCACAAATCAATGATTACTCGATTATTTGAACAATCGTTATTATTATTTTTTTATCTTCTAATATTAATGCTACTCTAATATTAAATCCGAAAATTCTCTTCTATATCAAGCTACCACCACAATATCCTGTGTGTAAATCATATAGGAAGATAGCCGTCTTTATTTACATGCTTCTATTCAACGCCCTGATTGTCGTTTCTCGAAATACTTCTCTTCTCCTTTTCTACACCTCCATTCTTCCACTTGCTAAATCGTACGTTTAAGCTGACCACAGAAATAGAACCGGTTGCCGACGAGTCAGACGGAAACGCGAATTGTTTACGTCCTCATAAACGGCCGGTTAGGTAACCGAGATGGGTTACCATACCAACGATGATTCCCCTCGATATTAATAAAGACATTCGGTTCGATTTGGCTTTCGCAAATTTTGAATTTTGAAACTGTGGATTTTTTGTAAAAACACATACCTCGCGATTGTATTGCAGTAGTATTAGTTTAATTTTCCCAATAAGTTCTTTTTTTTTTAAAGAATAAAAATATTGTCCAATGTGTAGGAGCGATTCTAAACAAAAAATTAATGCACTTTTAAATTTCAAGTTATGCGACATCAATCAAAATGATTGACACAGAAATAATTTCTTGACTTCTGACTGTTAACGATGAATAATTTGACATCGAACAAATAATTAGCAATCGCAGTAAATCACACGCGGGCAATAACGAAATTGTCTTCTCTGTTGTAGTGTAAAAATGCCTTTCAAGCCTGTGGAACATCCAAAATGCCCTAAATGTGGCAAGCGGGTTGCCGGTGGATTGAAATGGCACAAACAGTGCTTCAAGTGCGGTGAGTAAACAAACATAATCTTGTAAATCAGAAATAGAGTGGATGAGTGCTTTCTTATTGGCATCATATATCATTATGATATATCATAAATCGATGTCTTGAAACTAGAATAACCGATGTCATTTTGCAACTTAGAAGTTGAAGGAAAAAAGGAATATATATACATATATACATATGAGAGAATTGTATTATCTATTTATACTTACGGGATATTAAAAACATATCATGTTATAGTTTTGAATTTTCTTGAATTTGGGAAGGGAAGGAGAAATATTACATTGTATTTTAATATAAATCGTAATTTTTAACATAGATAATATTTAATTTTACGTGGAGAGAGCAAAAAAAGCAAATTTATTGTACATATTTTATCACAATTGCACGTTTTTATAACTTTATATTTGTTGGTAGTGTTTATGAAAAGATATATTACTGACAACCATAATTTTTTATGATAAAAATTGTACACAAACTAAGTCACTATCAGGTAATCGCTTTTTAAATAGTTAAACACTTCAATAAGTTTAAAGCAATATTTTTTTGGGAATATTCTCAAATTTCATCTGTGATAAAAAATTGAATTAATATAAGAATCATAAAAAAGTTTATATTTTTTATGTACGATTACTATAGATCATCTTAAATTAATTTTTTTATTTGGTGAATAATATTTAATGATACGCTCTTTTTGTAAGAAGTGTTCTATAAAAATGTGGCCGATTATTTTCATTACGGAAGACAAGCATTATCGAGTCTCCTATTCTTAGGCTGGTTTAAAATAAATTTTATATCTGGATAATATGTCGCGACTGTGTAATTGAATATGTGTATTGGTCAATTGGCGATTAACTGGTAATGATTTTGATGTAGTGTAATAACTTATATCAATAATTCGCAACAATCATAATGTTGAATATCGCATTCCGAAGAAACGCAATGCGTATCTATTTTTAGAGTAATGTGAATATATTGTGGAATTTCGAGGAGTCAGAAAAAGGCATAGTAAGTAAGAAACGATTTTTGACACATCTTGCAATAGTATCAGAAGTATATGTGTTTTTGAGTATTTCACATTGTGTACACGTGTCAATGGAAAATACATTACATGTCTTTTTTTTTAAGTACATAGGAAAATATACGTACGCAACATCTACATCTCTTGAAAATCCCCTGAAAATCTCCTGAAAAATAATCGTGATAATAAATAATGACATTTCGATATTTCGATATTTTTTTACAATAAAAAATATAGTTGAAATATATAATTAAATTGTATATTTATACTTGAAATATGGAATATAAGTCAAATGTTTTTTAAGTAAAGATTTAAAATAATGCAGTTTATATTTAATATCGTGCCTCGAGACTCGAGTATACTCAGCAGG